AGTATTAACATAAGATAACGTTAAGATATGCTTTGAGCAGATATGAACGTTTGAGGGAAATTATGGAAAGTTTGTAGTTTAAAAGCAGTAATTTGACCTTCCTGACGCTTTTTTTTTTATACATGAACTGGTATAGCATGTCAGGCCATATGACAATTCTGTGTAGGATACACATTTACTTCCTGTCAGAGGACGTATATTTCCTATGAAATTTCTTGGATATTCAGGCTGGTAAATGTTAATACTGTTTATTACAAACAGAGCATTTACTTAAATATTTATGTCTATATAAATAATGTATAACAATATATATATATATATATGTGTGTGTGCGTATAAAAAAAATTGCAAGATACAATCTATTTGAAATTCTTTCATATTTTATAAACAAAAATTCTGTATGCAGAATTATACCTATATATCAAGCAATATAAAAAGAAAAAAAATAGATACAAAAACTTACCATTCAATTGAAGTAACAGGTTGCAGAGTTGAACTATTTTCGTTTCAATAAATTCTTAAAAGAGTAAATGAAAAAGATATTTAAAAAAAAAAAAAAAAAAAAAAAATTTCAAAATTGGAAATATCGAAACAAACTAAAAACATACACCCCATGCATATTATTGGTGACAAATATTGAATTAAGGTCTAGTTTTTATTTACAGAAAACAAAATATAATTGAAATAAATTATATATAACTTTTCTGGTTTGGCTTCAAGAAATTTACACACAATGCTAGGGAGATAAATCAGTGCTTGGTATCTAGAAATGTTTGACAAACTACAATTGGGAAAAAAACAAAAAAAAAAAAAACACCTTTTCAGTACATTCGAATTTTCACCACTAACGAGTTTGGTACCTGTCACTTTACTGACAGCAAGATGTTCAAATTTCGAAACTAAATTATTTGTCCATTTAAAATACTGCATTTATTAGAAAATATATTCAGTTTAAATAAAGAAGGCATAAAAAAATGATCTATATTGTGGTTTATACACTTTCCTGTTACCCAGGGGTTGTTGCCAGAGAGAAAAGGGAAATTAACTCTTGCAACAGATATCAATTTCATTCAAATTGTGTTTATGTACGTTTACCTACAAGCATGTGTAGTCTGATTCAACAACACTAGAATATTTCTATAAATTAAAAAAAAAAAAAAAAAAAAAACTTGGAAAATAATTTTACGTTTTAACTGAATAATTGCCAAAAGGTTTGATAAAATCTTGCAATTATTTTTAGGGTTTAAAAAAATTAGTTTTTTTTTTTTTTGTTTTTTTTCTTTTTTCTAACTTCAGGATTTTGTTCAAACCAGAGTAGGGGCTGTCCAGACTGAGTGGGAATGGAATTTATTATTCCAATGTCTTATTTCAAATTAACCAAATTGTGTGTGCATGTGTGTGCGCACACACACATACACATTATATGGCACAAGCACACATAAGTTATTCTATGCACCCCACATTACATATGTACATACAAATAATCCACTTGGCTATTAAACCAGATGAAATATCGATAAACATGGACAGCTAACAATGTCAGCCAGGCATTTGTCTTCTTTTCATCAACATAAATATTTCCTAAGCTGATAAAAATAAAAAGAGAAAAGAATTTGATGGGTTCTTCTTAAGTTCTAGGTTTCATTTGGGGGTGTATTTTAATTTTGGTCCCTGGTGATCTTGCTTAAACCCCTGCAAGATATTAAAGTCTGCGTAAATGAGGACGCATATTAAGAAAGAAAACATAATAAAATTTGTTTACTTACCAGTGGGTTCTGTGTATTCGAAGTGTGTGCCAATATACCAGATGGTAATATAAAATAGAGACAAAGAAAAGAAAACATTTGAAAAATGATGAGCTTTTTAAGAGAAACACACACATTTATTGAGGTAAATTTTTACAAAGGACAGAATTGTCTTTCACTTCTCATGTATATATACATAAAAAAACAAAACAGGCTCTTTTTTGCATGCCAAAAGTCTTGTGATAATATTCTGTATTATGTTTATTTAGAACAGCCTGAAGATATCAAGAATGATAACAGCTTTGTGTTATTTAAAAAATGATTCATAATTGCAGAAGGATTGTTGTTATTGTTTTTTTTGCACAGGGATTTAGAATCTATGAGAGGTTTTCTTCAGATTGTGCCAGTCGATTTATGTTTATGATCTAAGGATACCAGTCTAATCTGGATCCAGAACTACATCAACAATCCAAGGATCTTGGTTTATTCTGGATCCAACACTGATTATGATGCAAAGGGTGCCTTGTTAAATTGTATCCATTAACCTGTTTGTGATCTTATAAACTTCAGGCTATTTTAATTTGCCAATATGTTTGTGATCCATGAGACATCAAACTATTTTGGATCCAGCATTATATTTATGATAAATACACTTATTGAAAATTGTTGTATAAAAGTAAGTGTCATTGCCGACATTGTGCTTTGAAACTAGATCGCCAGTGAGTAACACGGGCGATTCCATTATTAAGTAGATCCCATGATCATAAACGAAGTGAATAAATACGAAGTAGCATAATGTTCACTGTTCACTCTTGTTTATCCACTCAATTGCTATACGTTCACTCTCTCTACTCTACTACTATATGGATTACAATTCTCTTCTGATCATTATAATATTTGGCAATTACTACTTGAACAAATATTACTAGAATGGATATTATTGAAAGGCATTACTACTTGAACAAACAGCGTCTACAAAAGTGTTGGATATAATAAGCATTTTTGGAAGTGATAACAAGCTTTTGCTTGACATAGAAACAGTGACAAGCAAAAGCCATCCAACATTACAAAAAAATATAAAAGAAATTAACTGTAGAATAAAAAAAATAGTTTTTTCTCTGTACTCAATTGGCCAAAAGATATATGTAGATGCAATCTTTTCAAGACATAACCTAATTCTTTATTTTTCCGTCCTACCTTTTAAATAAATGTTATCTTCCTCATATTCTTGCATATATTAATTCACAAAATGTTAATTTTATAACATCCATACAACACAATGGAATAATCAATGTCCGTGTCGGTCACAAAATCAGGGTCCAGTTTAACAGTCTGTTTACATAGCAAATTAAACCTTTGATGTCTATGTCGGACATAAAGTCAGGGTCCAGTTTAACAAGATGTTCAAATAACAAATTGAATATTTGACGCCCATGCTGGGCACAAAAGCAGAATCCAGTTTGTCATTATACACATATAAACTGAACATCCACATTAAAACCATTTTGCTTAGTTCTTCTAAGTTCTCTCCCAAGAAATAAAGGTTATTTGTATAAAGAGAAAAAAAAAACATTGTAAAAATAGATTTCCAGTGAAAAACATTAAATTCATTTTTAACCGGCTGTTGCTGGTTGACAATGCCTCACCTAAAAAGTTAAGATCATTAATGTTAGGGAAGTGCAGGAAGTATAACAGATATTGGCATGGAAACTGAAATCTGCAAGTTCAAATTCCAGCCTATTCCATTGCATTTACTTTTGCACAAATGTTCTTATGAAAGGCATGAATGTATCTGCGTTAAATAGCAAAGCCAGCTCTCTGATTTTGGGTGTCAACTAGTCTAGAACAATTTTTAATTGAAAACTAATGAGGTGGCAACAGGAAACCACTCCCTAGTCTCTTTACCAAGACTGGATAAAAAGTCACATATAAAGAAAAAGCATCCATGTTGAGAATATGGGCACATACAACCTGAAGGGACATGGCAATAGAAACGTTGTACTCACCTAATTTTGGTTTCGGCGACTGGTTATGTGGGTCATCTCCATCAATCTGAAACAATGGCGGACAAAACAAGCTAGAAAACTTCATATTCAGTTTATTTTATTTATTTTTTAATTGTTTCACCCCAAGCAAGGTGATAATGCCGTTAGAACACAGGGTAAGGGGGTTACAGGGTGAAAGTGAAAGAGAAAACCGAGAATGGGGAGGATTGAGGAAAGGACAAAAAAGGAACAAGGTTCACGAAGATGGAAGATGGTGACTGATGTTCTGTTTAAATTTTTGAAGGTTGTAGTTATCAGGAAGTAAGAAATCAAATGTGAGTTCCATAGATGATCAGTGTGAGAACAAAGACTGTAAGAGTAGATGTGGTGGCTGCATCTAGCCAGATCGACAGTAAAACAGTTAGACCTAGTTGCCAATCCAGTAGCAAGCCTAAATTAAGTTAGGGCACACCAGAGCAATCATCATGAAAACATTTGTACAACAAGCAGAAGAAAACCATGTCATGTCTGTGAGATAGCAATCGGAGATGAGCTACCCAATCAGGACATAACAGACCCTTCTCTGGATTCTGTCAAGAATCTTGAGATGTACAGCAGGAGCACAAGAGCAGAGATTTTGCCTTGCTGGCTCTGTAACAATATGATTTCTCACACATCCTTAGAAGTAGATAAATTCCTCGCAAGTCCACTTAGTTATGAATTTCTTAGAAAATTTATCTCCAGTCCATCTTTGAGTCAAGTGTCAGTGTTTTGGGGAATTTCTCCAGCTGCCTTTGAATTGGCAAACATAAAATGTTGTTAATGAATTTAGATAATCATAAAAGTAGTCCTCTGAAGAAGCTGACCACCCAAAAAATCAAATGGGTGGTGGGACCACAGCCATTATCCATATAAGCAGAGAGAGGCAGGAAGTCTGAGGGGAAAGGGGTCCAGAAGTGAGAAAGTAGGTAGGTGACCAGTGAGTAGCTGCCTAGCAGCCAGGGAGGAAGGGACCAGTGACAGGAGATAGCAGTCCAGCTGAAAGAAAATATAGCCGGCTGAGTGAGAAGTCGTATTATCACCATTTCCCAATCAGAGAGTCTTGAAGAGCAATTGTTGTTATTCTTTGTGAATTCAATTATAGCCAAGTGGACAACCCTGTGCACATAGCTAGTCAGGTATATATGCAGACACAGCTGACCTTGAAAGTCATCAGGTTGTGTAGTGATGGACGAAGGGAGCACGTCGTTACAGCTGCAATCCGGCTCCTCTATCTTGTCGGCCACATCCTGCTCATATTTTGCTGATTAGTCTCAACCCATTCCAAAAAAGAACCTTGATCGTCTTTTGCAGGTTAAAATGCTTTAACATTTTTTTAGATGAGGAGGAGAAAAAAATGTGTATTATATCTCCTACATCTTGTTTTCTCAAAATATATGTCACAATACAACAAAAGTTTTGGATTTTTTTTTTTTTTTATATGGTAACGGTAATATTTCGCTGTTTTCCTACACGGAAACATTTGGCATTCATTGACCGAGCAACCAGTAATGTTTTTTGGTTGAAATTTTTCAGGAAAATAGGTTTTTTCAAGTCCAGTAGCTGTTATTGCTCTTTCCAGTATTGTTGAGGGTTTCCTTCCTAAGCTTTTGTCTTAAGTGGTGGGGAATATCAACATCTTGATTATGCCATTATTTTCTCTTCAAGTTATGTACTAATCCATAATCTGTAATTTGTAGCAGCTTGGAACAACAAATTTGAGAGTAGTGTTTGTGTTCTAGTAGAGTCTTGTTACATTCACTTTCATGCAAATACTTTTGGGAAAGGTATGAATTCATGAAACCTTGAGCTATGGGTTAAATAGTAAAGCAGGCTGGACTCTTAGCCTTGGGTGGCAACCAGTCTATGAGAAAGACAACACTGAATTTAAGACTCTATGTAGTGATGGCAAGGAGAATTGTAGAGTGAGTAGCCATGGTTAAATATAAAATAAATAACAGAACTGTCCAATAAACAGAATTGACAAATTTTGCAATAAGCAATATAAAAAAAACAAAAAAACAAAAAAAAAAAAAAACAATAAAGAAAACAGGAAAAAAGAAAAAAATAAAGCAAGCAAATAATACATGCAAGGCAAATTAGCAGTAATAAGGAATACAGTAATATGGCAAAAATGTTCACAAACCAAGAATTGGGGTAGACACACAAGAGCAAGTTCAGACAAGCAAATGTAACATTCTGACTTCAAGACAAGACAGACCAGGGCTGAGCCAGATGACAGCAAGAACTGACCTATTTTATTGGCTAGGAAGAAATCCCAGCATGCATTTGTGTGGTGCTGCCTATAAATTGGAGAAGGGGAAAGTATTTTGCAATAATTACATATAGGGTTGGAACTAACAGAGTTTACAATGACTATGATCCCGACTATAGTTAACCTTGATTTTCCTTTTGTTTTAGTATGTCTCTTTTAATCAATATCAGTTTTGCAGATCCCATAGAACATTGGCAGCAGATACTTTATCTCATGTATCCTTTTGTTGTAGAGGACTACAATTCAATTTTGTTGTTTATTAAAGAATAGAATCTTTAACAAAAGAATAAAACATTAATAACTTAGATTAAATCAATTAGATTTCAAAATTTGAAGTATTGTCTGATACAAAAAAAAAATTATTTCAAAACATGAAGAGAGAATTTGATTTAACACTTTTACTCTTAAAAAGCCTTTATATTCAAAATATAAAAAGAAAAAGAAAAAAAAGACAAAAAAACAACAACAACAATAATAATAAAAAGCATCATCATCTTACTTCGACTGTTACCAGGGTGACAACATTATTACTGGCTCCAGGGTCGAGGCCGACAACTGTCAACAAAAAATAAGCAAAATATATTAATTAAACAAATTATTCAGTAATTAAAGAGAGTAACTTGTTAATCATTACAGTCTTGGATTAATTAATAAAGTGAGTCTGCATATACATATATTTCTTTAACAGATATCAAAACAAAAATTATTCATGTACAATACACACCCTAACCTTGGCCTAGGGAATTGTGTGTGTGTGTGTGGAAAAAAAAAAAAAAAAAAAAACAATTGTGCAAAATGCATCAAATTTTTAGAATTTGTATCAGCTAAATTCAACATTTGTTCAAATTTTTAGCCAGTTTATTAGTTTCCATTGTGCTCTGAAACATGTAAAATAAATAAATGAAGTTATTTATGTATAATACACACCGGTGATTCTGGGCTATGAAATCTGAGAGAGTTAAAAAAAAAAAAAGACACTGGCGTTTTACAATTTGTATTGCCTAAATTAAACATTGGTTCAATTTTTATCTGATTCAGGCTGACTAATAGTAAAAATTCATAGTGTTTCAAAACAGAATGTAAACTAAATTCAGAAGATTGCGAACTAGTAATAATAAAAAAAAAAAATAATAATATTAAATATACATTTTGTTCCTCATCATTTGGTACTCAGAGTTTCATACACCATTAACTCAAGAGTACCAAACGGTAAGGAAATCTGTTATGTTACATTGAGCACTCATTGTGTATTATATATAAACAATTTAAGTGTGCTATTAGTTTGGTAATTCAGTCTCACCATTTTACTGTTGAGCTAGTTAGATGTAACCGCCACTACTAGTATAACAGTTTTTTTCTCTCACTTTTTGTCTGTGGAATTTTCTTCAGATATCCTGCCTACCTATAATCTTATATTTAAATACAATGTCAATCGCCATCTTTGGTCTTTGTAAACTGTTCCTTTATTATTCTTTTCCTCACGTTCCTTCACTAAAGTCTTTTCCTGTAAACACCCTGCATCTCAGTGGCATTATTGTCCTGCTTGGGGTGAAATGATAAAGAAAAGAAAAAAAAAGAAAGAAAAAAGAGAGAAAAAAAAAAAAAAAGAAAAAAGAGAGAAAAAAAGAAAAAAAGAGAGAAAAAAAGAAAAAAAGAAAAAAGAAAAAAAAAAAGAAAAAAAAAAAAAAGAGAAAAGAGAAAAAAAAAAAAAAGAGAAAAAAAAAAAAAGAAAAAAAGAGAAAAAAAGAAGAGAAAAAAGGAAAAAAGAAAAAAGAAAAAAAAAAAGAAAAAAAAAAAAAAAAAAGAAAAAGAAAAAAAGAAAAAAGAAAAAAGAGAAAAGAAAAGAGAAAAGAAAAAAAAAAGAGAAAAAAAGAAAAAAGAAAAAAGAAAAAAAAAAAAAAGAAAAAGAAAAAAAAAAAAAGAGAAAAAAAAAAAAAGAAAAAAAAAAAAAAGAAAAAAAGAAAAAAAGAAAAAGAAAAAAAAGAAAAAAAAAAAAGAGAAAAAAAAAAAAAAAAAAAGAAAAAAAGAAAAGAGAGAAAAAAAAAAGAGAGAAAAAAGAAAAAAAGAGAAAAAAGAAAAAGAGAGAAAAAAGAAAAAGAGAGAAAAAAGAAAAAGAGAGAAAAAGAAAAAGAGAAAATGAAAAAAAGAAAAAAAGAAAAAAAAAAAAAAGAAAAAAGAGAAAAAAAAAAAAAAAGAAAAAAGAGAAAAAGAAAAAAAGAAAAAAAAAAAAAAGAAAAAAGAGAGAAAAAAAAAAAAAAGAGAAAAAAGAGAAAAAGAAAAAAGAAAAAAAAAAAAAAGAGAAAAAAAGAAAAGAGAGAGAAAAAAAGAAAAAAGAGAGAAAAAAAAAAAAAAAAAAAAGAAAAAGAGAAAAGAGAAAGGAAAAAAAAATTGGTAAATTTGTTTTAATGCTTAACTTTCAAATTTATCAACAATCCTCTTTGATAAAGGCTAATTGAAAGGCTGGCCACTTAAGATCTTCCCCACTGCTTTTCTTTTGATTGTAATTTTCAACATGTCTCCCACTTCTTCAAGTTATACTTAAGGTTTGTATCACCAATCAATTATTTACATTCAATTTTACAAGCATCTATATATGATTGCTCTGACTTCAGAATGTAGCATAAGTGCCCCCCCCCCCACTCTCTGAAGTGAACTTACCTGGGGATTTGTGTTTCAGGATTCCTGTAAACCCTGTTTCTTCCTTAAGTTCACGTATTGCAGCTTCAGATGGCGATTCATTCACATCAACTAATCCTACAAAACAAGGTAAGAAAAAATTTTTTTTTTAAAATTTACATTTATTTAACATTCATTTTTGGACTTTGTTGTAATAAAATTTTTATAATACATCCGTGTCTATGAATTCACAAGTTACAATGTGTACAATTTTAAAGTTCTTGGTTTGATCCATTTATCAAATATTGGTTCAGGCTGTGAATCCACCCACCCGAGTAGAAATCATTATAAGTTTATTAAAATTTATTAAAAAAGATGTTTTTTTTGCTTTCTGTAACTTATAATTAAAAGAACCAAAAACAAAATTGCAGATTTACAATCAATTCAAATAGAAAGTTGACCATTTAACAGAAAATCAAATGTAAAAACAATTTTTAATCATTTTATTTACATTTAACTGCTACTTAAAAAAAAAAAAAAAAATTAATTTATTTGTATTCATCTGGGTCATTCCAGCCAGATTCGACAAGGGTCCATCCTGAAGGTCCTCAGATTTCATCCAAATTTTCACTATTTATCATTCATCCAGCATACCTCATTTCAAAACAGATTTTATGCCACTCTGAAGATTATGAAGATATTGAAGATTTTGAAAAGATTGAATTTTTTTTTCTTTTTTTGAGAACTCTCCCTGAAAGATTCTTTCAGTTGTTGTCTTTGGAACTCTTTTTCCTTCATCACAATCTGTATGAGTCTCTGAAATTCAACCAACTAATCACGCTCTTTTGTCACTTGTTTCAAAAATCCCGACTGAAATTTTTAAAATGCATAAAAACTTTCTTTTACAGTTAAAATCCTGGATTTCGGCTGGTGCCACTGCATGAAGACACATGCAAACCATATCACCATCTCTCATCATGCAGTGTGTATCAAAAACTTCACACAAAATCAATAAAACAGATCTCTTCATGAGCAGCAGAATGGCAAAAAAGACATTTCATTTTTCAGCTGTTGTAAGCCATGTAAAGCTATGAATTTTCTACTAGGCAAAATACTTTTTTCAAGCAATTTCTTTCCAACAACAGATAACATCAAAAAATCTGTTTGACAGATAATATACTGAAATTTTCAGGATCAACTCCTTTTATTGAATGTTAACAAACAGTGAAAGTTTGGATAAAATCTGAGGACCTTTAGAATGGATCCTTGTTGAATCTTGCTAGAATGAACCATCTGCATTTTATTTATATTTCATTTGGAGTCAAATTCATATTTTTTAAATACATTTAAATTTTTTCACATTATTTCAGCTATATTAATATGTTTAACATATGTTCATATTTTATCTACATTTACATTTATTTTTATTATTTTATTTATATTTACTTATATTTAATTTCTATTTAAAGAGTTTATTTAGTTTGGTTTACGGCATATCAATGTCAATGGGTTATTTAATGCCGACAATTTTTTTTTATTGCTTGTAATATTTGTTTTTCAGAAATCTATTACTGGTAATATTTTTTCCTTCAAAAATCTATTGCTGCTAATACTTGTATAGCTGGTAATATTTGTTTTCAAAAATGTATTGCTGATAATAATGTATTTCTGATAATAATTTTTTACAAAAATGTATTTCTGGTATTAAAACCTATTTTTACACTTTCACAGCACCTTAATCCCAGTTTAAGCCCCAACAGGTGCCACCACCCTGGGCCAGGGTGGATCAGGGAACACCAGCAATTAAGAAGTGGTTCCACTCTGTCGGACACAGTTTATCGTCTTACCCAGGACGCGGATGTAGTTTATTGGCATACTCAGGACAGTAAAGAGTTTAAACAAAGTTTTATTAAAACTCAGTTTCTTTATATCTAGTATTTAAAAAGATCACATCTTCTAGTCATAAAGAAATTTTAAACAGAACTTTTTCTCAAAACTGTTAATTGAATTTTATTGTTGGAATATTTCTCAAAAAGCAGTTCCTAGTTTTAGTTTTGGAAAGAAAGACTTGGACTCTGCAGCCAGCTATTTAATGATTTTTTTGGAAGCATGATCCAGATTAATGTTGCACAAAGCAAGGTGGGTCATGCCTGACAGAAGCTATCAGAACATATGCCGGTCACTAGTACTACCCAAGATCTATAATACTATTTGCTGCTTGTAATTTGAGTTCACTTTGGTAACAATAAATCTCTTCTTTTGTTCTCTATTTCTCGTGTGCTTACCACTCGTTCACAACATTAACAAAAAAACACTTGACTGTAATGATTGTACGATCTTGCACAATGCTGCCTTCTCCAATTCGTAATGCCATTTTGTTTATCTCCCCTTAGACCGTCAGAAATTTTTATGATACAAGCAAGATCTTGTATTTGTGAGAATATAATGTTCTTAAATATTCGCCTTATGAACAGTCATTTTTTTTTTAATTTATTTTTTCCTTCAGTTCTACCACACTGCTTTTTAGCTGTCAGTACCACCTGAACATGAAAATATACCGAGATTATCATAATAATTTGAGGCAAGGTGTTACAAGACCAGATGCTCTTCCTGATGCCCAACTTTCACTCACAGTAGTCTAAGTACACTGAGTGTTTTTTTATCAAGACATCATCTTTAGGAAGGTTGCTAATCAAGGATTGAAACCTCATTTTAGCCTTTTGGGAATTTGTGTAAAGAGGCATTAGCCAAATGCTCCACAGTAGCATCCTAACTGTGCGAGGTATCACCAACTGTTGGTTCTGCTGGAGAACGCATCCACATGCTCAGTGGAACAGTGATGCAAACAGTGTTTGGCAACTGCAATCTACCAGTTTGCTGCCCCTGGTTTCCCCAGCACAGGGAGTTAGGGATTGCTAAGACTTGCTCAAGGTCTCACCCCAACATGACACAGGAAAGAAGTCAGTTTACTTCTGTGTTAGCCAGCTACAATCAAAAGATCAAGCTTACTCCACTGTCCATCATACAAGAATATATTAAAAGAACAATTACCAGCAGGAAATTCAATGGTACATGTCTGAAGTGGAGGTCGATACTGTCTGACAAGAATGATGCAGTCAAATTTTAATGTGCATTTCAAGATGGCGATAACAGCAACAGCTACAAAAGAAAAATACAAAAGGTTTGACATCTGAAAACAAAAAAAGACCTAAAAAACTATGGGCTATGAATATTCTTTCGCAATACCTTTTTTAAGTAAATACAATTAAGCAAGATATTTTTTCTCTCTCTCATTACTGACAAATTCGAATGTGCAAAAACACTCACATCCGGATTATAATCAACTCAAGCAAATTAATATTTTATAGTTATCTCCCTTGCAATTGTATTGATTTACCTCCCTTAGTTTATGCAGACGATATCGTGTTGATAGCAGACACAGAAAAACTCCAGGAAGTTCGAGGCAAGATAGTAAAGGAAAGCGGAAACAAAGAACTAACCGTCAATTGTAAGAAGACAGAATCTATGGTTGTTAGCAAGAATTGGAAAGGTCAAAACGAAACAAGTATAAAAATTTAAATATCTGGGAAATATTTTAACAGCTGACAGAAATCTGCTTTCCAAAAACTAAACAAAGTATGAAGAAACAGGAAAATTTCATTAGAAACAAAGAAGAGTGACCTGAACTGCTATGTAATATCAATCCTCCTATATGACAGTGACTAAAGGACAATTTCCTCACAAATGAAAAAGAGAATTAAAATAACAAAAACAAAGAAAATAGTTATCTAATATCAGTCCCCCTATATGACAGTGAATGCTGGGTAATCTCCTCACAGATGAAGAGATTTGAAGCAACAGAAACAAAGAAAAGTGTACTGAACTGTTATGTAATATCAGTCCCCCTATATGGCAGTGAATGCTGGACAATCTCCTTTACAAGAAGAGACAAGGCAATGGAGATGTGGTTATATAGAAAGATGCTGAGGATACCATGAATGGAACATGTAAGTATCAAGGAAGTTTTAAGAAAAATAGAAACAAAAAGGAATTAGAGACAGCTGAAATTTCTGGGATGCATAACAAGAAGGCATAGAAAAATTAACATTCACAGGGCATATTGTAAGCAAAAGGAACAGAGAAACTACCTGAGCTATGATTGACCATATTTTGAAAGCACATGGTACAGAAAATTTTTTTAAAATTTAAGAAAACAGAAACATTGCAGTTCATAGAAGACATTTTTTGTCAAAATAAAGTAGTATTGAGACTAGAGACAACTTTTTTTTTCTTTTTTAAGTAACCTTGTCAAAGTGTCATGCATAGTGCCAAACTAATTCTGAAATACCTAAATTGTATGCTGTATACAGCCATTTTCTCAGATCAATAATCAAAAATGACTTACAGCAAAAGAAGTCTGTAGGTCTTGAAGAGGACTAGCCCTCTTTGAACCTCATGGAATGAGGCTACAGAATCACAAATAAAGAACTGTATCAAATAAACCTCATCACTTGAAGACTTTCAGCAATGGCAACTACTAAAATGGATAGCACATTTAAATCAAAAGGAAAACAATGACATAATCAAGATGTTGATGTTCCACATTAGAAACAAAAGGTTAGAAAGAAAACCACCATTAATAAATAGAAAAAGTGATAACAGCTACTGGACTTTAGAAACCCATTTTCTGAAAAATTGTTTTAAGAGAAAGATGTTTTAAATTTCAATAGAAAGTAGGATTGGCTGCTGGGTCAATGAATGCCAAATGTTTCCTTATAAGGAAACAACTAATATTGCCATCATACTTTAGAGATAAGAACGGATACTACACTTAGGATTTACTTGTTGCTCCATGCTGACAGGATGTAACACAAGGTCAGTTTAATGTGGGGAGTCTGAGTGCATGCACTCAGGCCAGATCCCAAAATAGCCCAACCCTGGCAACTGTCAGTTATGCTGGCATTGGTATTGTTATTTTTATTATTATTATTATCTTTAGTGCAATGAGGGGAGTACTGGAACTGGGCACCTCTCAATATTTTTCATTTGCACTGTGTTAGCAAACACAACCAAGATGCACTCTAGATAAAATGTAGTTAATCCACCTGAAGGCAGATACTACACTTTGATCCTAGCCCAATGGCCAAGGAGTGAAGAAAAGAGTAACTCAAGAAGCACTAGCTGCTCGGTTAATGAATAGCAAATGTTTCCTTATAAGGAAATGGCTAATATTACTATTCAGCCAGTCACCACCATACACATTTGGGTGATCACATATTTTTCAATTCATGACTGACTAGGCAGAAGATTTCTTTCTGCAGGAGACTAGTTACCAACCAAGGTTTTAGGACCCAATATGTCTTGCTCTTCAATTTATAGCTGGAGGAGGAGAAGAAATGTATTTATACCTTTCTCAAGGTTGTACGTAAGTAAATGTAATAAACCCAATTGGAAATCAAACTCACCTGATTTCTCCATCTGAGCAGTTATTCATTACATCACAACACACATCCAATATTACCATTACCCAGGACCAGTGTATACTAACCCCAAAACCTCCAACTGGGGGCGGGCGATTGGGGTCCATGGCCAGTGCATTGTAAGCCTATCTTATCAACATTTGCTTTTTTCTACCTACATTTATATACATTACAAATTAAACTAATCACATCTGGCTATTAAAAAAATGAAAATTTTTTGTGGATTTTGACATCATTCTGGGGGGTCTTCTTTTTGTCCAAATCTGAATTTGTTTTGCTCATGCTAAGTCTATATATATATATATATATATATATATATATATATATATATATATATATATATTAAGAAATGGACAAAAGTCCGACAATTTATTTATTAAAGACATTTTTTATGTTTAACGTTTATATCTATAAAAAAAAAAAAAAAATTAAACATAAAAATGTCTTTAATAAATATATATATATATATATATATATATATATATATATATATATATATATATATAACGCTATATAAATTAACTATTTTTTTTATCCATAATGTTGAAGGTGTTAAAATTATTCATTTTAACAAGAAAAATCTCAAGTTGATGTTAAAAATTGCTGCAAAACATTCTTTTACATGGAATGATTATGACATGTCTCTAATTTGTATTTAGATACATTGTATTTATTTTCAATTTTTCTGTTTGAATTGTTCACCTATATTGCACATGATCCATTATTGTATATAATTAGGTTAGAATAAAATTTGTAATTTTATAAGAATACTACCTTATGAAAATTGAGTATTAATAAAGTGAGTGGGCCACATGTGATAGACTGGGACACACACACACAAAACCCTTGCACTGACCCCTCCATTACCATTTCAAAATACTTAAGGTGGCAAGATAAGAATGGCAGTTTCCACAAAGCTTATAACAAATAATAGTAAAAGAAAGTTAATGTTTATAGCCTAACAGTGGCTTTTAGTGAGAAATCAGCAAGCTGAATTGTAATTTGTCAGATTTGTGATATTCACATTTGTGAAAATACCCTTGCAATCTATCTCCTCTTCTCTCAGCTATGTGTTAAATAGAAGGACAGACCAGTTCTCTAGCCAGGATTGGAAACCAGTCTAGAAGGAAAAGTCTGAATTCAAAACTATGTAAACCTAATGAAGTACATACTATACAGCCATTGAAAGATTACAGAGTTCCCAATTAAGACTGATGTGAGGTTGTGGACTATGATCTCAACTAATGAGGTAGGGTAGGGTATTGTGAGAAAAGATTTCTTTATCTGTTGTACACTTAAAAACTGTTGAATGGCTTGCAAAAATATTTGCTAAGAACACTTTCAATCGATTGAGCAAACTGATGGAATTAAACAAAAATGTTTTCAAGTCAGAAGGAAGAAACATTTAACAAAATGTTTAGAATTTAAGGGTGTTCCAGTTTACCAAAAATAGTCAACTCCAAAAGCTAAGCAAAATACTAAGAAATAGAAAAATTTTGCTAGAACTAAGAAAAAGAGTACTAAATTGCTATGTGATATCTGTCCTCCGGTATGGCAGCAAATGCTGGACGATCTCCTTGAAGATAAAGAGGAGACTTGAAACAACAGAAATGTGGTTCTACAGAAGGATGCCGAGGATACAATGGACCAAACATGTCAGCAACAACAAAGTTTTGGAGAAAATGGAAACAAAAAGAAAACTAGTAGTTATCAGTTGAGGTTTCTGGGGTACATAATGAAGGGGGGCGGGAATCTGATACTCATGGTACAGATAGAGGGCAAAAGGGACAGAGGAAATCAACGCATAACATACTTAGTGAAATTTAGTAAATAAATGGCGGGGCAAGGTTTAGGAGAAATAACAAAAAGAAAAATATAATAAAAGCTACAAAGGAAAGGAAGTTGTGGAGAGCCATGATATCATAAGTCTCGAGGAGACAAACCACATAAAGAAGAAACGGATTTTCCTTATATTTTTCTTGTTTCTTTTATTTTCAACAGCTTATATATCCTTTGCAGGTTATTTAAAGCCAGAAAATATTTTCTTTTAAAGACTAAGAACTTTTTCTGAGATAATGATTTATTGATACAAGTTTTACTAATTAACCCATAGCTGGAGGGAGAAGAGGTGGATTCACATCTTTTCCAAGGGTATTTGTGCATAAGTGAATATAATGGACCCAATTGGAATTGGAACACGGCTCTCAGATTAACAATACTGAGCTGTTATCCATTACACCACCTGCACATCCAAGCTTACAACACCTGGCATTCCAAAGTGGTCACCCATCTAGGTACTGACCATGCTCAATGTTGCTTAACTTTGGGGGTTGTATGGGAATGAGTGTTTCAGCAAAATTAGAAATGCTCTTAACTGAAACATTTAATGGTGGTTAAAACAGTGGCTCCCAAATTTATTGTAGATTTTTTTTTTTTTTGTTAATCAATTCACCCCAAGGAGAGCGATAGTGCCACTAAGATGCAAATGACTACTGGGAGTGAAAGAGAACAAAAAATATTTAGAAGGAACTAGAAAACCAATCCTAAACAGGAAACAAAGGATAAACTTCAATCTGCCACTCCTCAACGCCCAGCTGACACACTCCTATAAAGACATTTCTTTCTTAATATTAAGTATATTGTAAATTTAAAGTAACAATTACCTAATACTCTAAACACACACATATGAATTTTGAAATTTTCTTAGTTGCCATTAGATGTCTGCAGGCGAACATCCATGGTTATATCACAACACTTGCAAATCTAGAGCAAATGTATTAACATGGGCTGGCATATGGAGTGTTCTTGTCGAGATACGGCCAGCAAGATACAAACAAATGTTTGGACCTAATTTTGGAAAAAAAAAATAAAGCCATGCATTTGTTTATAATTCTTACATTAATTTTATTCCTTTTAAAATATACATGTACCTCGTGTGTGATATAAATTGTGTCATAGATGTAAAAAGAGAGAGAGAAAGAGAAAAAAAAAAAGAACATTACTTCATTTTAATACCCTCTTGCAGTCCACTAACCCCACTTTTTTTCTGACACCTTACTGCTCCCTTTCTTCCATTGAATTTTATCAGCACCACCACTGGGGAGGATGGGACTACTCCCTTTCAGAATATCAGAGTTAAAATATGAAAGTTTCAAAAGAATTTGGTCGGAAGTTATTTCTGGTCAAAAAATTAATTTTCAAAACTTTACATTTTTGTACTATGTATTTAAATCCTAAAAGAGAAATTCTTTAGATGGATGCCAACTGAAAAATTACATTTTGGGAGTTTGTCAGGACTCTTTGAACACAAATTATCAACACAGATATTTAGAAATGACTAGCAGTAGAGCCCAGCATTGCCCGGGGATGTAACAGTAAGAGATAGATCAAGTATCGACCATAATAAAGACTGAAAAATAAAATTGACAAAGATTATTGTTTAAGGTTGACAGACACGCATGTCTTAATGTGTTTTTTTTTTTTTTTTACACGAATTGGTCAAACCCAAACTCAAACAAAAACATTGTTTTCAATCGTTATGAGTCTACCGATTGAATAGAATTTTATTATAAACAATTGTCTTGTAAATGGAATTTTTAAAGCATTCTGAATGTAAAAATAAAGGAAAAAGTGTGCAAGACAATAAGAAACACTACCTGCCAAAAAAAAAAAAAAAAAAAGTGAAGTTTTGTTGAAATCGGTTGAAAAATGTAGGAAATCCGATCCCATATATAAACAAACACACACACACAAACAACCTGGGTTTTATAATAAGTAAAACTTGATATGAGTTGTCCCCCTTTCATTCTTGTGACACCTGTTAATCATGTTTTCAAATTGATTTTGTGCAAAAACAATTGTGTTTTTCCAATTTTTGGCACTGTTAGAACCACCACAAGGTAATTTTACGTAGTCCTGCGAAGTTTTGTTGAAATCGGTTGAAAAATATGGGAAATCCGCTCCAATATACAAACATACAGACACACACACACACAATCTGCATTTTATAATAAGTAAGATATAAAATGCATTTCAGGAAATACATCTGTTTGATATTTTGGTACACATCAGTGATGTTTTTAGCAGAGGATTTCAGGTCTGACAACATCGTACTGCTTCTCCTTGTGTGTCAGCCATCAGATAGTGTAAAAGGCTCTCATAACTCACCATGACTCCTCAGGCTTTTATTGACCAATCACAAGCAATTTCCGGTTTACCAGCTTTGCTCTCTCATAAAAAAATAAGCAGCTAATGCATTGACTGTTTTCTTAGCAAATATGACAACACTTTCAACTTGAAGTGGCAGGTAATGATATTTCACTACACGCCATGATAAAAAACAACACACACACACACAACACTAGCCAATAATTTACTCATTCAACTCATTCATGTTAACCACCCAATCAACACAAAAAAACCCTCCCCATGTCTATTGGGCATAATAATAAAAAAAAAAAAATTGAAGAAAAAATGGTACTGACCTTGCTGAGACATTTTCTGGTTTACAACTCTGGAAACACTTTCCCATTTTCTGCACAAAAAAAACAGTATTAAAATTATTTCATATCAAAACTCAAAAAAAAAAAAAAACAGTATTAAAAGTATTTCATATCAAAACTCAAAAAAAAAAACAATATTAAAATTATTTCATATCAAAACTCAAAAAAAAAAAAAAAGCAAGATTTAGAAAATATAGAGAGAATTTCTTGTTTTAAAACAATTCTAGATTTTTTTATCATTGACCAAGTGACTTTATCACATTGTGACAAGAATGCTTGTTGTGTTTCTGTAGGAAACACGTGTCTCTTTGTATTATTTTCCCCATAACATTTATTGCAGACTCAAATGTGAGTCCAAGTAATAAAAATGAGTGACACAAAAACAATATAAAACAAACGGCGATGCATGTATTAACAAAAGAATTACACTTACAACAAATGAAGAAAATATTTAAAGACTAGTTTTATAAAGTGTTTAAATTAGAGAATGTGTGTGAAATTTGTGTCGGCCTGTGATAGATGTGTGTGTGTGTGTGTGTGTGAAAGAGTACAAAAAGTCGTGAGAGAAAAGTAAGACGTTGAAAATGAACGTGTCTCAGTGGGGGACACTTTTATCCCATGTGCAATTGCATCTCATAGCCAGAGTTGTAAAAGAGGAAAGAGAATAGGGAGAAAAATGCATACGTTTTTATAGGCTTAAGGAACATAGCTGTAAAGGTCTGAACAGGGGGAACTAAATTCTGAACATTTGCTATGAAAATATTGATAGAGTAGCGATCGACTTGCAACATTGCATATTTTAGGAAAAAGACTGTCGAGTGAAATATACGTCATCACCTACAAAACTGCGTAAGTGATTTTGAACTCTATGAAGGTTGGAAAGTGAGGATTGAGCAGTTACAGTGCAAACAGGACAGCCGTTCTTTAATTTTGGTCAAATCTGACTCTTGTAGGAGTCGGGTACTTCCAGGAGTTGTAGAATGATTCAACCACTCGGGATGAGTAGATCTGTTTTATGAAGAAATAATTTATGAAGATTTAAATCCTGAGAAGATAGAATTAAAAAATTCCAGTTATTTAGCTTCTCAAGAGTCAGAAGTTTAAATATCACTAACAATCTTTTTTTTTTGTTCTAAAAAAAAAAAAAAAAAGCTTTCAAATTTCACTTATGGATAAAGATTAACACATCTGCTGCTGTTGACATACTTATACATCATCCTCATAAAACTCATTGCCTGCTGTCGACATTATATTACAAGACACCATGAAATGTCGGTCCTTTGCATTTGTGTAATAAACTAACTGGCATTTAGTGCTATTACCAACCTTGAATAGATATATAGATTATAATACAGTCTGTTTTCTGACATATTTTTATTGTGTGCTGTGGGGGGGGTGGTTAGCTTATTCTGCTGTACAGACTATCTGATCAAAACCTGTTGGTTCCACTTCCAAATGGGAATGATTACAAAACACTTTCCCCTCTCCAATTTATAGGCTGTAACACACAAATGCATGCTGGGATATTTTCCTAGCCAATAAGCTAGTCCTGGTCTGTCTTGTCTTGAAGTCAGAATATTGTGCCCGTTAATCTGAATCTGCTCCCGTGTGTCAACCCAGATTCTTAGATTGCGAACTTTTTGCCATAGTACTGTTGTTTTGCCTTATAACTGATAATTTGCCTTGCATATATTAGTTTTTGCCCTGTTCTTTTCTTTTTCTTATAATTGTTTATTGCAAGCTTTGTCAAATCTGTTTGTTGGGTAGTTCTGCCATTTTCATCTAACCATGGCCACTGCGATGACAAAACCGAAAATGAAGTGACAAAGAAGACCATCACCCTTTGTTCTGCTGCCCAAAGGCCTCAAAATTGCATATAAACTGCAAGATGTTCTTTCTTTAATTTCATTTTAACACCTCTGCTGCTGTGGACATACTTATACATCCTTATAAAACTTACATTGCCTACTGTCAATGTGTGTGTGTGTGTGTGTATGTTATTTATTGGAAAGTGCTCAATATCTGTGATAGAGCTAACATATGCGGTTACATAGAGAGTTGTTTGTAACTTTAGGTGTCACGCTTTCGTGACCTTCAGACAAACTGGGTTATTTTTTCAAAAGTGCATCTATTAATGTTTTGTTTGTGTTTAATTATTTAGCTCTGTGTGGCGTGGGAAAATTTTCTTATGTGTTTGTTTGGGATGACATTCACATATACATTCCCCCCCTCCACCATACACAAATAACCAAACAGAAATAAAGCATAAATAGATCCACTTTTGAAAAAATAAACCAGTTTGTCTTAAGATCACGAAAGCGTGAAACCTAAAGTCACAAATAAATCTCCATGCAACTGCATATATCAGGTGTAACAGCAAAATTGTCCACTGATTAGATTAAGCTCTGAACTGTTGAATCTTAGAAATGATTAAAGATATCTTACTGGAATTTTCTGAAGATTTTATAATACTACTGGACTCTACTTCGATTAATAAGAATGTATAATTACTCTCCAAGTAATGATTCATCATTATTCTTCTGTTAAGCATATCATTTTCCAACTTATTCAAAATGATCTTCACTCTAACCTTCCAACTTTCTGTCCTGGAGTAACAAGGTGCCTCACAGGTTTCACATACGATTTCATTTTAAAGTCTTTTTTTCACTGCTCCTTGGACTGTCATAGGTAAAACTCCTCACTCATGTGCCAAACGTCTAATGAATTGAGTTGGATCTTTTCTAATTGATCTCTTTAGCCCTAAGTTGAAATGATGATCCCTCTTCTTGTTGTGACCTCCCAATCCAGTTTCCTCTCTACTGTTCCCTCTTTTTTTAAACTTATTCACAATTCTCTTGATGGTTCTTGAAAGGACTTTGAAGATGGAAGCCAGAGTATGAATGTTGGTACCATCACTGAAGACCTGAATGATCTTTATCCCTCTCAACATTGCTTACTTGCAAAGAGAGTGGATCTGACAAAAAACAATTTTAACCTGCTGTCTTTTTAGCTGAATAACTCAAAAGGTTTTTCAGTGATTCTTACAAAAAATGGTGTCAAGATGGCTAAATGTCTTAAATGAAAACCTGGAAAAAAGAAATTCAACTAATTTAGTGTTTTTTTAGATATTAAACATTTTGTGAGATGAACAATTATGCTGTCACACCCAGTATATATCAAGCACACAAGACACTGAAATGCTGGTACCAATGTGTTTATAAACTAACTAGTAGCTTAGTGCTATTTTCAAACCAATGTAGACATATAGTATCATACGATACAAATTGTTTTCATTATTTACATTATTCAGACCATTGTCCTCATCTTTGTCGCCATATTTATTACAACGTTTTAGCCATTGTACACACTGGCCTTCTTCAGGTGGTTGGAATGTCGAACTGAACCCTTTATTTCGCTCACTGGGGTAGACTGTTCTAGTTCCATGTGCCATGACTAATGGATGTCAGTTATCAGTTATCTCTTGTTAATTTCCCTCTGAAAGTTCTCCACTGCCTTAACCGGGTATTGAACTCACACTCTTTGGGTCCTGTCACTGGATCTAACCAACACATTTATCCACTGTGCCATGTGTCCTTGAGGCTGAAACATAATAAATATGGCAACAAAGATGAGGACAATAGTCCTAATAATGTAAATAATGTACATAATACCTCATCTCAGAAATATAGACAGATACAAATTGTTTTGTGAGGCATCATCATTATTTTGTGCGTTGGGGGGGGGTGTCTAGCTTAGTCTGTACTGCAGAATCTTACTTATAAAACGCAGATTGTGTGTGTGTGTGTGTGTGTGTGTGTGTGTGTGTGTGTGTGTGTGTCTGTAACGTTTATATATTGGATCGAATTTCCTACATTTTTTAGCCGATTTCAACAAAACTTCACAGGACTACATAAAATTACCTTGTGGTGGTTCTAAGGGGGCCGAAAATAGGAAAAACACAATTGTTATTTAGAAAATCTATTTGAAAACACGATTAAGACACATCGTAAGAATGGAAGGGGGACAACTCACCCACGAAAATGTAAACAAATGAGCATAGCATGATGAAAAAAAGCCGAACTTGACGAAAACAAAATTTTATCGTCTAATGTTCATATTATTATTAAAGAGGAAAGATCAAAGTATTTTGGGGGTATTTTTTTACATTTTTTAATCGTTCCTAGCACGTCTGAAATTTTCGTTAAAAATATTGTTTTTTTTTGGTCAAAAAAAAGGACAGATAATCAATCATTTTCAATCATTTTTTTTTGATTTGATAAAAAAGATTAAAATCTGACTTTGATATTCTTTTAAAAATCAATTATCATTTTTTCAAAACTGATTTTAATAAAAACAGAAATTATACTGTTTATTTAAAATATTTTGAACCAAGCTTAACTTAGCTTCTGCGCCGAAAAAATGGAATTTGAAAATAAAACAAAGCAAGTCATAACCTTTCACGTCGCTTGACGAAAGGCACATTCATGACGTTTAGATAACTTACGGGAGGATTATTCTTTCTACGGATGGAAGGAAGTGAAATTATTTAAGTGAACAAATTATTTACCTCGTTACTGTTAAGGAAAACTTTCAGCGGTCTAATTTTTTTTTTTTTTTTGTACTTAGCTTTCATTTTTACGTTTACGATGCTTTATGGAAAATATAAAGAAATTAAAAAATAAGACTGTTAATAGTGAGATTAAATTTCATAAGAAAAAGGTATCTAATTAATTTAGGTAACTTTCTTATGAAATTTTATCAGAAGTGTACATAAAATACTATAATTTTATGTACATTTATTACATTTTACTGTGTTATTATTGGTATTTCCATTCATTTTATTATTAATTTTGATATTTCATTTATGGAAAAATGTCATAACTGAGATTAATATAAAAATAAGATCATATAAATTAAAGTTTAGCAGTAGTTAAATTTCATAAGATGATACTGTTACTTGTAGGTACCCTTCTCAGTTGAAATTGAAAACTCAAATTAACTTCTCCATACGTGTTTACTTAAAAGTAAAGGGCTTAACAGCGGAGAACAATGCTGAACTCAAATAATGCAACTAAATTGTATTCTGGTTGGTCTTCCGTGCTTGATAATTACTGTCCAACTATAAACACAAAAATTACATTTCTTAATTACCATGGCTAATCTGATTGGTCCAAATTATACAATTTTCAAAGCGCTAGACAATGACAATTTCACACGGACATTTTGAAAGGTTGACGTTGCTTTTAACTAATGTTAAAATATTTTAAAAAATTTAAAAATTTTAAAATTTAAAATTTTTTTAAAAATCTTTTTAAAATTAAAGAAATAAGAGATAATTGTATTAAAAATTCAATTTTCATTGAAAAAATTTTTTGCTTTCAGAAAATATTGTCCATATTCATAAAAACAAATTAAAACAAATAAAAGCATTTGAAACTAAATAATATATTTGTTTTATTGAGTTTTGTATGTTACAATTCACAGCTGATTTTCAGGTACGTTGGCCAAAAAAAAAAAAAAAAAACCCCAAAAAACAGGATTTGCATTCTTCAGAGCCTTGTGCTTTTTTGTAATCACTAAAACCGATGGTCTCAAATTTCTAGAGTTTTTCATAAAATTAGTTATGGGGGTGTTAATAAATATAAAAAAAAATATTTCTGCCATGACTTTAATAATAATAAAAAAAACATATTTATAATAATTTCGATCATCTGTGAATAGTTTCTGAAAGTTTCATTAACATCTGACAATTATTTTTATTTTTGCAAGATTTTCCAAATTAATGTGTGTAAATACAAAAAAAATGCACTAAAAAATTATCTATGTTATTTACTACCCCTTGTTGCAACAAAGAGAAACAAGGTTTTTTAAATCAAAATTTAGAATATTCTAAAAGATGGAAAAATTTTTAAAATAATTAAAAAAATTTAGTCTATCCTCTTCATAAAAACATAAGCATTTTGACGATAAAATTTTGTTTTCATATAAACTTTGGCGTCTTTTTCATCAGACTATGCTCTATGTTTTAGCGATTCCGTGGAGTGACTTAGGTTAAAAAACCCAGGTTGTGTATGTGTGTGTGTGTTCCTTTATATATGGGATCGAATTTCTTACATTTTTCAGCCGATAAAACAAACATCCACTTTTTTCTTTATTTATAGATTCAGAATGCTTTAAAAATTCCATTTAATAAATTCACAGCAGTGAATGTGTTAAGCTAGTTTAGTGGTCAGCACTTGCTTAATCAATTGAAATCTTGGTTTAAAAGAAAAAGATCTAAACCAACGTACCTTTCTTTTCCATTTGGATCTGAATATGTTATTTCTTTTAATGCTAGCCAATTCCCATGGGCAATTTCCTGTTAAAAAACAAATAAATTACTAGATTATAACAAAAAGCTTGATGAATTTTTAACCTACTAAGAAAATATCTTGGACCTTCATACTTGGGGAAAAAAAAAAAAAAAAAAGGTTTGAAAAGGATGTTTTTTTTCCCCCCTAACACTGCTATAATTTTAACTACATCCACTCCGACAATATTTGTTTTTGAAAGCAAGTATTAGAATTGTAATAAATCCTAAATATATGGTGGGAGTAAATTTATACATTTTTTTTCTTAAGAATTCACTAAAATATTAAACAACAACAACTATTTATTAGCTCATTTATTTCTAATTATATTGAAACTAATGTAATGCAATATTCATAGTTCACCAATCTATAACAAAATAAATATCAAAACAATTTTATTTATAAACTTTTACTAAATTATTAAAATATGTAAACCAACTATAAACAAAATCCTTATTTCCTATTTTATAAAATTTGAATTAGTCAATTAGCCAATGTTTCACCAACCATACCAATAAACAGTATAACAGTGTAAATAAGGAATCTAATAAATAAATAAATACTGTTTATTATTTTTGTTTTAAATTCTCAAGAACAAAGAAAATGTATAAAATCACTATTATATGTTTAAGTTTTATTATAGTTCTAATCATCACTTAAAATCAATGTTTTAAACATTGTCAAAGAGTGAAGGTAGTTAAAAAAAATAGCATTGACAAAAGAAAAACTGTCCTTTTGACACATTGTTTTGTTTTTTTTTTTTTTTTTTGCAGACATGAAGGTCCAAGATTGCTGAAAATATGATATACATATGTGACATAGTGTTGTTCGGGGAGCCATGATTGTTTTTATATATATGATAAAATAGTTAAGGCATGCTATATTTATGGGTTAAAGTGTTCAATATCAGGGACAGAGCATATGTAAATATAAAAGTGGACATTAAAGTCAACACGCAGTGATGACAGTCTGTTTTATGCTTGAATGCAATCAGCACGCCTGGCGATAGCATCCAAGCATGAAACAGACTGTCGCCTCAAGATGTTGACTTCAATGTCAACACACACACATATATATATATATATATAAGAATTAATGGATTTTCTTAATCTGACATTTTCCTGACTTTTAATGTTATTTTTTGAGGATGCACACATTTGAGTAGAATGCTCTGTATTTTTTGAGAAAAATTTTGAAAGGGGAAAGGATGTTTTAAGTCAAATACAACTTCATTTGGCTGTGAGGTTTCAGACGGTGGTTCCTCCTACGAAGAGGGACACAGTTTAAGTTTCCTCAAATGGGCAGGCTGATAAATGGCAAACTGTGTAAAAAAGAGAGAACATTTTACTCAAATATACGTATCCACTAAAAATTAGCATTTGATAAAATTGAAAATGCCCTGAGCAATTTCCAAACCAGGGGTTTGTATTATTATCCATTAGTATCGTTATATATAATGAATTTTGAGTGGATGGTGTTTTGGTTTTCTCCATTAAGTAACCGCTACCCTCTATATAAGCATAATGTCAAATGTACTCATGCTTAAACACCAGATGACTGGTATAACATGCTGTTATGGGAAGGATATAAAATACAATATGTATTACACACACACAGAGAATTGATTGATAATTCTCCAATCCTTAAAATAAATTTCCCACCTGATAGAATAATGAAACTGTTATCAAAATGAAGCAAATTTATTTCTTTTCAAAATTAAGAAGCGTGATTGACAAGGAAGATAATATAAAACAAGTTTTGGGCTAGATAGAATAATTAAACTACTATTAAAACATATGGCCCGGCACTCCTGCCATATAAAGGTTGCGATGGATAAATTGTCGTCTAAATTATGCAAAAATTGAAAATAACACTAACATCTCATTTTAACAGACATATTTGCCAAAATTACACAAAAAAATATCTTGAAATACTAAAGAGTAAATTTTTTCAATAAATTCGTCATTGGCTTGCACATGACTTTGGAATATCGAATCTCCTGCAACTCTTGTGGACAGTCTCCTTGTTTAAATTGGTGAATGGGCCATAATCCTTGCCTTCAGTTCATCTTTGGTGTTACGAGTTTTGTTGGTCTCTCGCTCAACTGTGCTGCACACATAATAATCAAGGGTGTAACAGTCTGGGGAGTAAGTGGCCAGATGTAAAGGAGTGACGTGGTTGCAGAAATTGTCTGACAGCTATGACTGCGTTCAATTGCTTGTGTGGCATGGTGCAGAGTCCTGGTGCCAGACATCGGGTCTTCCAGCAGCCGTTCCTCTTCACCCAGGAGGGTACTACTTTCCTGGTTATGGACCTAATTGACTTGGGAGGATCATTTTCAAGTACAGCATACTGTTTCCAAATTTATGGTGGAGTGAATTGCATCATGGTGTTCTTTTTCTCACAGACAGTGCCCAACTGACCCTACTATACTATGCAGTTGACAAAATCAAAAACAAATAGCAAATTTGTGAAATTAAAATATAAAATGGTGATAATTTGGCCATCACACCTTGTATTTAGAGATTCTTGATAAAATCGAAAGACAAATTGGCAATTGGTCCTGACCTGGAGTTTTGACTTCAGTCACTTTACCACAGCCATAAAGTTGGCTCCCTGTGCCTTTTCTATAAAAACTTTCATGGTAATTGTTCGAATGAGATCTTTGTTAGGGTACCTAGATTTTATGAATTTAAGTGCAGTGCTAGATTAGCAACAAGGTCTCATCAATTACAGTTGAAATGGCTAAATTTAACCATAATTTCTGTGTTAACAGTTTTTTTTTATCACACTTTTTGCTTGTGGAAATTTCTTCCAGTTACATGCTTTCCAGTTAACTTTGATCTTCAAAAATTTAAATCAATGTCAATCTTTATCTTTTGCCATCCTGATTACTCTTCTATTGTTTTTTCTCCTTAATAATGTTTCTTTTTTTCTAATTCTTCACTCCAAGTAACCCCTTATGTCTTAGCGGCTTTACTGCCTTGCTTAGGGTGATTTTGATTAAGAGAAAAAAAAAGTCAATTTATTTCTCTTCAGAATTACAAGTTGATAAGGTTGCCAATCCTATAAAACAAGTTTTAAACTACATTGAATAATGAAAATGATATCAAAATGAAGCCAATTTATTTCTCTTCAAAATAACAAGTTTATTTTCCAAAAAGTTTTTATCCACATTTTCATTCCATTCATGAAAATTTCTGTTTTAATTTTGATCCATTTTTCACAGAACAATTTCAAACTTTGGCATTGAATGAAAAAGGTTAACCTTTCATTGCCATTTTCAATTTCAAGAAGATTTAATGGTGCCAATTTGGTACAGAGAATGTGCAACAATTGTGAATTTCCATTTTCTCACTATTTGCAAGATTTGTTGACTCTAATATAGACTTACATTATTATAGTAACTGCTCTTATTTTCTGATAATGTCATATATGGATGGCTGTATTTACAAAAATCAGCATGCTTATACAGACACAAAAAAGATTCAAAATTCCTTTTAAGATATTGTAGAAGGGGGCTGGATTGTAGTAACCATTTCCATCTACAATTAGTAAATACAGTTTTTACTTAACAATATCAACTAACCTGTATAAATTAATACAGAATTTTAAAAGATTAAAAATATTCTAATTAGAATTTTAACAAAATGAAAACAATTCTCGTAAAAATTCATTGAAAGATTTTTTTTTCTAAATAATATATCTTATTCATCAAAGCTTTTCTAATTAAATTTTTATAACATTTTTAATTTATGAGTCAAAGCAGATTTTCAGTAATTGGTGTTCGTGTTTTACAAAAATAATTTGATGATTCAAATTCTCCAAGGAGTTCTATTTTGAAGATAAAAACTGTTTTTAAGCTTGGGACATTTTTTCATATCATTTTTTTAACAAATCTTTGGATATGGATATATATATATATATATATATATATATATATATATATATATATATGAAGAAAAATATACTGAAAAAACAAACAAAAATCCTAATATGTGATTATTCTGTTTTAATGTTATAACCCCTTGCATCTTAGTGGCATTATCGCTTTGTTGTTTGGGGTGAATTGTAACAGAAAAAAAAAGAAGAGCTTGTTAACCTTGGTTGGCAGTCTGACTAGGAGAAAGATCCTTTATTTACAAATGAGGGTAGATGGGACTCCTGAGTCACTTTCGAGTGGCCAATGACTATCTGCAGATGGGTTGCCAGTTCCAGAATAATGCTCAGAAGAGTATTTCTGACTTACAAACATCACTTTTTTCTCCCCTTGGTGAGAAAAATGATACTGAATATCTCCACCATGACATATGGACGACTATGAGGCTCCTTTTACATTGCAGACATGGTCAGTCATTGTTTTCCTCAGTTCTTTGCAATGACAAATATGTCTGGTATATTTAGGCTTATTCTTTCACACTGTCCATATCTTCCATTTTCAAATATACAGGTCTTGGGGCAGGGTGGGGGTTCTGGCTTGGTTGGGTGAAGAGAAAAATCTTATCAATTCCATTCCTTTATTATATATATATATATATATATATATATATATATATATATATATATATATATAATGTGTTGACTGATTGATTTGTTTTCCATGGTTTATCAACCTTTTGCAGGTTGCCTAAAGTCAGAAAATATTTTTACATTATAAGTATTTTTGGGAATAATAATTTACTGATACAAGTCCTACTAATTAACCCATAGCTGGCGGGTGGAGAAGAGGTGGATTAACACCTTTCCCAATGGTATTTGCACACGTGAATATAATGAACTCATCATTCTGATTTTCAATTCTGATCCATTATCCTTTATACCACCCACACATCCAAGCTTGGTATTCCCAAGTGGTTGCCCACCATGGTACTGACCAGGCTTAACTTTGGTGATTGTCTGAGAACTGGTGTTTCAACAGGATATGGCTGTAAGTCAAAAGTGAAATTGACAAGTAGAGTTTAAATTCTGGTCAAATCAGTTGCTTTCACTTTTGTATTAATGTGTTTAA